CACCCCCACCAGCGGATGAGATCATGTCCTGCCAGTTCCTTGGGTCCTTTTCTAGGTTTGTATTTCCCACAAGGCCGGGGGAAGCCCAGGTTTGCAAAGAATCACATGTAGGCCAAGCTTCCCAAAGGGTATCAATTAATTAATTACTTCAGTGCCTGACCCCAAAATCATTGGACTCCGACGAGATCCAAAAGAACCAACAACCTCTCTCTGGTTGAGCATGGTGAGTCGGACTCCACTCAACCCAATCCAACCAAACCCTGGTGCAACAAAAATCAGGTGCAGAATTCCTTCCTTCGAACTGGATCTTCTGCCCCACCAGTTCGTTCATTTCGTGGCGCCACCACCCTGCTGCCCCACCCCGCGCCCGCGCACCTCGCCATCCCAACTCTGCACGGCAGGGGAAGAAGCAGGTCGGCTCGCCTGGAGGGACCAACCCGGCCGGGCCAACTGCCGCCGCCCAACTGCACCCGCAAAAGGCCCGGGTGATGGCAATGGTCGGATGGATGGGGTTTGCTGAAGGGGATTCACCGAACCAGATCTCAGATCGCAAGTAAACTGGGAGGGTGACTCTGCTGCTTTTCATCATTCTTTTGGACATCTGCTGCTCAGCCAGTTCATGTTCTGACGTCACCTCAAAAACCAGATTCGCGCGGCTGCTGGCGGCCACAGAAAGAACAACGACACCGCATGTCACATGTCCTTGTTGAGATATCATTTGGGTGTTGGTCAAACAATATTCGACGATTCCACTGGTTTGGGAGGCTAGAGGTTTCAGCAATAGGGGTTGGAACTTCCGAAATGCATTCTTTTCAATGTCTTTGGTATATATAGCCAAACAGGAGGCAAACTGGATGGCCTGAGGCTCCTGAAGGACTGGATATGCCTTGATTTGTTACATTGAAATTCTTCGAATTTGCCTATTTGCTTCGACACCTATACATTGATTCGTTGGGCGCCACCAGACTTCTTCTGCTCCTTTGCTATACGAGACAGTCCTTGGGAATCATTTGGCTGTGGGTCATGGCACCCTGGTCACCCTAGGTACTTTTGACCTCCCTAGCCGTCTATTCTCGTCTACTCTGCTTCGGTGGTCAACCAGGATCCTCCAGTTTTGATCCAAACCCGATGGACGCTTTTCTATTGTTCTCTGAGCGTCCAACCCCGGTCACCATGGGGGACCGGGCAATTGAACGATTAGCACCAACCCCAAACAATCTCTCAGCCGAATGGTTCTTTTGGGGGGAGCCAGTCCTTGAATTTCACGCGCTTTCTCGCTCTCTTTGGGGTCTCTCTGCTTTTTTCTCGCTCACTCTTCGAGGAAAGAGCCCGGTGAGACACCCAAGTTCGACCTGTTTTCTCACTGTGACTCAGCACTGTTGACTCGGAACCTTCACCTCCGAACCTTCACCTTCACCGTACGGTGTGTATTCACCTCACCGTGCCGTTGTCCCGTCCGAAGCCGCGTCGAACGACTTCCTTCCCGCGATCGAAGCCGGTGCGCCGTCCAGGTGCTAGCTCGCTTCACCTAGACGGCTCGGGCGGCGTCAGCAGAAACCCCGAGACCGCTTGGGAAGCCCGGGGGCGGTCTGAAAGCCGATCCAAAGGATTCATGCGGGGGCCTTGGGATTCCGGATCTGAGAGACAGGTTGAACAGAATTGAACCACATAACGAGTCTTACCTGTCAGAAACCACAGAGGCTACAAAGACTGCAAGTCTCGGTGCATCCCAGGTGCGTTTTTGGAGCACAATCAAGAGAATCAAGAGAAGAGTAACAGGAAAATAATGTTGGACATGCTTCTTTCAAAATCACATTTGCAGAAGAATTCACTGGACACCAAATGTCCCTAGCAAAACCTGAGACTATAAACGAACTCAACGGATCTTGGGGATGATAAGCTGAAGCTGTGTCCTTTGATGCATTGCTTGCTTCTCTCGGTGGCCTCCAATTACAAGAGGAATGGTTTTCAAACACATGGCAAACAGGACTTCTCTGTTCCATCAGCTCAATCCTATTTGAGGGTCAGTGGCACACAAGACCAAGCGATCATAGCTCCAAACTCGGGCGCCAAGCCAGTGACCAGCCCGGTCACGTCGCATCCTTCGACTATGTACGGTCTGTTTAGTCGATCTTCGAAGCAAAAACCCAGCAGCGAACCCTGGAGCTCTGCTCTTCTTGCCGGCGCACAGCCCAGCGCGGGCCCCGCCTCCTTCTTGCTTGCTGTACTTCGTGGCCTTTCCGCGGCGTATTGCACCAGGCTGAGCGCCAGCAGTGCATCCAAGCCATTCGGAGACGAGTCTGCCCAGAGCATCGCGTCCGAACGTGGAGAAGCAGAACGAGCACCGGAAGAGGAGCACACCGCAGAGCAACACGACAACATGAAACCTCATGGAACCAGGGCTGGGTGGATTCAGACCATCTTTAGGTGACCCGAAAAGGAACTAGCTTTGCTTCAGAGAGCAAAGTATGGTCTTTGGACTTGTAGGGCAGGGTGTTTGCTCAGCACCCTGTTGTCTGTTGTGCTCAGCTGATTGAGATCTGAGAAGTCTTTCGGTGAAGGCCTTTTAACTGAAACCAAAGATTGCCACCCTTTTTGGAAAGGATCCCAAACCCCCCCAGGGGGTTGGTATCCTTGCCCCCCCAACCCAAACCCGGCTGCCCTGCAGTTCTTCCACCCTGTGGGTTGGCACGGCCTTCCGGAAGCACCTGCAACAGTTGCCGCAAAGGCTCTCCAAAGCCATGCCTTGCACCGATCGACCGTAGGCTGCTCGTTTCTGCATTCCAGGAAGGACAGGTGGCCTACTCAGATTTGAAGAGGAGTCGTTTGCTTGTGACACCAGGCCGCCTTCTTGGGCAAATGGCCTCCGATCCCCCTGCTTCATCTCCCAAATTCAACATTGACAACAACCCAGGTTCTGACCCACACAAAAACATCTCAGGATGTCTTCCACCGATCGATGCTCCGATCGATGCGGCGAACATCGCCCTGCTCCGAGCCACAGTTCGCCCGTCTTCGCCAGCTGCCGCCGGAAACGCAGCTGGCCCTCCTGGCGATGCGGAGGCGGTGCGACTTCGCACCGAGGAGGCCGAAAGAATTTGGCTCGAAAGGAGCACCTGTGGGGCTGTGGGGCACAAGAACTTCTACTCCCAAAAAGCTTTCGTACCTCTCGTCCCTCCCTCCTCCACCGAACCACTCCAGGCGCCTGCGCCATTCCACTGCTATCCACAAAGTCCCAAAGACTCGGTAGTGGTCCATCCACCTCGTCTCTCGACGAAGCTCGGATGATGCTCGACGAATCCACGCGACGAAGCGAAACGAGGAGATGGGACTCATGGTCAAGTAACTCCAACCCAAAACGCCTAGAGGCCTATAGAGGGAAAGGGAAGGGTTGCCACTACCTCAAAACCAAGATGTTCATAGGTGTTCATGTCTTATACCAGTAACAGTCTCAACGAAAAATATTAAAACGGATGTTGTTGAAAAAAGTAGCTCCTGGGTCTGACATGGATGTAATTCCGACGAAAAAAAGAAGTGGTTACAAACCGCCTGTGACCCTGGGCGGACTCTGCTGTGTGCCGCTCTGCTCGTCCCCCGCCGCCGGAGTGTCGCCTCGGCGGACTCGTCCGCGTCTTCGAGGATCTCAGCTAAGGCCTCAATCGATCGGGCAAGGCCATAAGAATCGACGGGAAGCCATGAGAAAGATATGAGATGGGTGAACCCCCTTTCTCATAGGGAGAACCCCCTATGAACTCCGCCCCCTCCTTTCTGGGTGTTTTTTTTGATCTACATGACGTTTCCCGAACCCATGGGGGTCTTTTTGGGAGGTCTCCCCATTGATTCTTTTTGAAGGTGTTCTTTCGCCAAAGCACCAAAAACGGAGTATTCTACATTTGAGAACCCTATCGAGGACCAGCAGGACATTTCCGGGTGATCACAGCCCTACCTAGAACCTAAGTGACCCCTCTTTTGAAGCAAAACATGGATCATGACTGGGGTCTTTGAATGGAGATAGAGAGAGAGAGAAGGAGAGAGAGAGGGAGAGGTCCATCCACGGATCGCTCGGAGCTTCGGTCGACGAGTCAGCAGTCAACACACAGTCCACTGTAGCCGTTGGACGACTTCGGCCCTAACTATCAAATGCCCAAGACCAGACCTTCAGCCGGGCCTCCTTGAGTTTTCACCCCCTGCTACTCAACCGTGCTATCTTTCTCCACCGTGTTATCTGTCTAGATCCGTGCTCCCTCCAGTTTCAAAGTTAGTATCCTGGAACCCCAAACAACTAGAAACAAATGGTTGTTCCAATATGGCAATTGAAATCCTTTACATAGGAAATGGTTGGGACTGGGGAAACATCCATTTCTTTCTGCTTGTGACTGGGGTTCCAGGTAGTAGACCATAGGGACGACCCATCCTGTGAGGCCTCTGCTTCAACGACCGCTTCCGTCGTTTGCAGGGTCCGCCCACCGCAACGGAACCCACAACCCACCGGTGCACCCGTCGAACGGACCGTGTCGCCGCAACGCACCGCGGCGGTGCGTGGCGCGAGCGAAAGGGTGCTGGGTCCGCCCCGCTGTCTCATCCAAGACGGCCAGGGACTTGCTGATGAGTGGAGCATCCAAGGTCCCATGGAGCCTCACACTGGTCACTGGTCACTGGTGGACACCAAGCTTGGGGTGCGTCTTGGGTGCGTTTTCGTGGAAACTCAAACCAGATTCAGGAGGTGCATCCGAGTGGATCGAGGATGACCAGTTTGCTGGTATCGTGGATGAACACATGAGTGCGACATGATGATTCCCCGTGAGTTCTCTCCGAGAGTGCCACCGATCAAGGGCAATAATATGATGATCAACAATTGAGTGCTAACAGGTTCGACCTTCATCCAGGAACAAATGCTCTGAAAATACTTGAACATGACCCATGACTCAGGACTCTTGAAACGCTCACACTGGGGCACCCCAGAACGGCCAGCCAACCATTCAACCCTGCATTTTGCACTCCGGCACGTTTAGAATCGCTGAGCCTCGCTCCTTCAATAAGCTTTGAGTAGTCTCCTGGCCAACCAAGTGCCCGTCAAAATCATGGGCGCTCCTGGGTCTCGCCTTACTCTGTCGGCGAGCACCGATCGAGAAGGCCAAGCGCAGCGCAGACAATAGGCAATCCCAAGCGCTAAGACCATCTGTGAGTAGAATACAAAGGAGCATCAGCACTAAAGACAGCTTCATTGACCTTCCCTTCAGCTTCTCGAGCTCCTGTGACCACTGGTTCATCAAGGCGTCCACCTGTTTCAGCAAGCCTTTGACCTCACGCCGCTGTGCAGCACATGCCCTCTCAATCTCTTTAAGCTGGTGCAAACCGTTCTCTACCATTCTCAAGGTCTGCTGGACATGGTGGATTCTGTTTGCGCGAGCAGCTGCACGAAATATGTGCATGCACCACTGAATAGATTCAATCCCATGAACAGAGTGGGGTTGATGATGCTTGTTGGAAGAGACCACAGAAAGAACCTAAGAGTGAGTGCATTATCTTCAGGTTGTTGGCGCCGTCGATCTTCAACAGCAGCGTCGAGCTCTCGGCGGGTCTTGATAAGTTCACCCCGCAAATCTCGACAGTGTTTGGTTGCATCATTCTTAAGGCTATCCAGCGCTATGAGGATCTGTTCAAGTGCAAACTTTGTCGTTGGACAGAACCAGATCCACTTTAGAACCTCTTCCTCAGAGTGAACTCCATGCTCCAGCGCCATCTTCATTCTACTAATCCCGAGTTTGACTAATTGAATATCCGAGCTGATCACCTCCAACCTCTGGTTGAAGGCTTCTGTCATATCTGCAACATGGCATTGAAGTTGCTCACGACGTGTGCTGGCAATCTGGGCAAGCTGGATACACTTTTGGGTCTCTTTTGCCAGTACATCCACATGGAAAACAATCGCAGTCGTGCAACCTGTAATAGCAGCTCCCACAACAAAAGACGCACCCAGGCCAGAGATGGCCGCACACAACTGAAACTTGACAGGGCCCAGAATTGACAATGCATCTCCCCTCACACTAAATGTCTCCTGGAAAGGTTTCCCACACTGTCACTGCACATGGTGCGCGTTTGTTTTCGTTTGTGTTGCCAAGCTACGCCGAGATTGCCAGATGCTGCCTTTGGCCGGTCAAACGCCTCAGGACCAGGATCACCACATTCATCCAGATACCGCAAACGCTGATCAGCTTGCAGTTTCAGGAATTGGAAGGTCTTTTGAAGTGTAGTATGCATGTGTGTCCGGTGCGCACCTTGGCTCCGCTCACCTCCTCTTGTTGCAGCTCATTCTGGTGGATTGCAGCAGATGCTTGCTTTGGCCTAGTTCTTGCTGGGATCGATGCCCAGCTGCCCACTTGTATTCCTCCAATCCCCTCTGCCATGCCAATCTGATGGTCAAACCCTGAACACATCTCGCGGTGCATACTCTCAAAGCAGTAGGCGCCCAAGCCTCCGCCGAGCTCTCCGCCAATCGCACCCGCACACTGGGCGTCAGAAGCTCTGTGACAGTATTCTTTGAGCCGCTTGGGGTCCATGCCCAAGTCTTCAAATCCTCGTTGTTGTTGAATCGCAAAACCACTATGGAGTGTGGCCTTACCTTCGTATTCTTGGGTGGTGAACTTGAACGCCTGTCCTTTCAACGGACCGCAGAGAATAGGCCAAAGTACTCCGACTGCCCCGGCTTCGTTCTCACCAGGCTGCTTTTGTCGCTGTAGCACCTGAAGAAGCTGTGGAGGATGTCTGCAACCTGCCGTGGGTCGCTCATGTTGACTCCATCAAAATGCTGCTTTGCCTTGTCGTCTTTCATCATGTTGTCCAGGGGGCTGTCCTTGGTATAACCCTTTGGTGCAGTGGGCTGCAGCATCATGTCTAGGAACTCCTTCAATGCATCCTTCTCGTGAACTTCCTCGCGTAAGATCTTGTAAGTTTTTTGAAAACTCTCAGCACTTGATCGTCAGATTCAACCATGAGCTATGCGCCAACTTCAGCCGCGTCAGCAGCTGCAGTGCCACAGCACACAATGTATAAGGCTGAGCCAAAACAGTCAGGGCATCTTTCATGACTTCATGAGGACGTACCAACGCACCGAACAATGCCTCGGGAACATATCGCTTGGTGTCGATTCTAGACGCACTCAATGCCATCCTATGCATATGTCAAGGGATCCATGGAATCCTGCACTCCAGCACCATGGCATCATGGGCCTTCATTGGACAATCTGGGCACATCCAGTGTGGCCAAGTGGCGGCCCAAGATGCACAAATGACAGACACAACAAATGGTGCGTGATCCAGACTCCTTCGTACATATATAAGGCTTTCAATGAACCTAGGCCTTATGTCGACCTTTTGATCGACTACCAAGCCCCTCCGGCGATCGGAAGCTCGGACGAGTCTCGTGAGGAGGGCTGCCGCGCGTGCGGAGGCACGCGCATGCTCAGAGCGTTCCACATGGCAGGCGCAGCACTTTGTACACAATGCTGGGTGATCATGCTCCACTGTTGAGGTTTGTTTGACACGATCATATGTGATCGCGCTGCGCCATCGGGATTTGCGTGGCCTGGGATAGTGAAGAGTGCAGATGGCGTGGTGCAGAGCCTTGCAAATGCAGCACTTGGAATAAATTCTGGTAGCGCAGTTTTCGTGACAACGTGGCACCGTTGGCATGGCAGGTGGGACGTGTGGCTTTGTTTCCTGGCATTTGACTGGCCGCTGGCACGCCTTGTCCTCATTGCAAACAGTAAGCACATTAGGGCAGTGGTGGAGACAAGCTGTATACAACCTGCTGATGTGCCCACGTTGTCCAAAGGAGTGTCTTTTTCGCTTGCACCGCACAACGTCCGCGGCGTGGTGGCTTTTGCGACACGGTGTTTGCCAAAAACCCGAGGTGTTGTTTGCACAGGGGGGTTGCTCGCTCAGGGCATAGATCAAACAGTGAACACAAGACTTTGAGGTACAAAAGTTACAAAAGTGCTAGCATTCTCTTGTTCCTTGTTACTTCAAAGACCCTTGTTCCTTGTTTCTTGTTCAGAAGCATTCAACTTCTCGAAGACCTCTTGTTACTCTTGTTCATGGCACCCCCCCCGGCCGCACCAAGAAGACAGAGCCGCGCCTGAGCAGCGCCGAGAGCCGCCGCCGGAGGAGAGCGATCTGCCCCAAGCCGCACAGCATCGTGGCCAGCTTCACCACCTGACGGAGCCACAAAGGACTCGAACGGTTCAAATCCCGAAGTCCTAAGGCGTGGGTTCATATGGGCATGAATGGGCATGTGTATTTAAGACGGGGAACCCCCTGGCTGAATGGGATTTACATAGATCTGTTTTGTGTCGTTCCCTTCTTCGTGCTTCTTAGGAAGCCTCCCCTTTTTCTTCCCATACGCAACGCATTGTTGTGGACTGGTCAAAAACATGTCTTGCGGATTGGAGCTGAAGGGTCTTGTGTTGTGGATTGGAGCTCAAAACCTGATGTCCGAGATGCGCCCAAAGTAACGAGCCACCTGCATCACTGCACAGCGCAAGTTTTTCAGACCCATCAACCATGATGAACCAACGACCCCTCCGACAGGTCACCACTTAGCCCCCACTATGGCCCCAATCACCCTCAACCCACGACCTTTCTTGGAAGGGTGCCCCTTCTTTCGCCCCAAGATCCTTCCCCCACTTCCCAACTCCTTAGCCACTCCCGAGCCTTAGCCCCCATCACGTCTTCCTACGTCGGCCCTATCACCTTCGCTTCGACTCCCCAAAACCCACTCCGCTCCATCCGGCCCATCCGGCCAGCGGCGCCACCGCCGCCGAGGCCGGGCGCAGCGCCTGCAGCGAACCAGCGAACCGGGAGGGGCGGGAGGGGCGGAAAAACCGTTGACCCTCGACATCCTTCCTGGGTTCGCAATAAAAAAACGCTGGGGTTTCTAGGCGGTCAAACCTGGCGGTCAAACCTGGTGGTCAGCAACAAATCACTGATCACGTTGCGTGTTGCTCGTCCGACCCAGCTCAGCCCCAGAGCGGTGCACATCCTGACGGAAACCGATCCCGAAAAGTGAAGAACCGGGTCGAAAAGACCCAAGTCACGCGGTCACGCGGTATGACCAAATCCCAATTAGCACGGTTTGATCAAATGGACCCACCAAATCTAGCAAACCAGAAGCAGGTTTGCATGTGTTTATATGTTTGTTGCCCCTATATACATGCCTTCTATGTTGAACATGTCCGTGGCTTCCTCTGGAGCTTCGTCTTTCCGCTCCCCTTCCGCTGTGATCTTCCTCTGAAAGAGCCCCGGCCTCGTAGCTGCGGCTGCGCGCCGCCTGTCGCAACCGGTCAGGCCCAACGTGCATGCGTTCGGCGAGGAAGTCTGCGACCCAAAACCCCTGAGTGCACCCCTTTTTCTCCTCGGTCAGTGAACGGGGGGGGTCTTGGATCCAACTGCACCCCTTTGTGAGTAGCTTGTGGGTTAAGGCGTTTTGCATAGCTTTTGTCCGAGGGATGGGAGAGCACCACTTGGCTCGAGGCCGAATGGGTTGAACATCTCCGAGCCTCGGCCGAGCCTCAACCCTTCTCGAGACGTGTGAGACCGTGGATTCGTTGAAGTGTGACGCGTTCTAACGCGTCGGTGGCGTTCGGTGTCCTGCGACCCGATGATGGCTTCCACATCGATGTCTTTGTATTTTTGCACTGGATGATGGTTGAAGCCGTGCTTTTGGCTGGTATGTTAAGTGGATCAGCGAACTGTCAGCCCTGTTCAGTATTCGAGTGCTTGGCGTTGCTTTCCTCTTCTTGATGTCAGTTCTTCAACCAGCGTGTTGGACATGTTGATTCTGGCTCTTCATGAACTGAAAAAGGTCCTGGCCAGTGTAGTTTTCAGATTCTTAAGTTGCTATCTTCTTGACCTCTGCTTCCTGCGTCATGATGCGCTTCGCGCTTCATGCCGATCATCTCCAATCATGCCAGCCAAGAAGAACTCAAATGAATGCCCTTGGCACCCCACTGCATGGTCCATCAAATCCCACACCAACCGCCCGTCGGCCTTCAGACGTTTTCGGCCCCGAACAGCCGGGGGAGTAGGATCAATGCCGAGGCGAGCGTCACCAAGACGAGCGAGAAGCACGGTAAACAAACAGCCCAAACGGGCGTGGGCCGCGCAAGCCATATACGAGAAGAAGGAGACCCACCAGCAACGGGGAGTCCCTTGAGGGTCAGGAGTCCGTTGAGGGTCTCAAGCCACCCCAATGAAAAGTCCAGAATCGGTACACAAAAACCGAACACCCTATCGATACCATGCACCCGGTTCCCCGATGTTCACGGCGCGGACCCGGCGGACCCAGTTCAAGGGGGGGGGCCCAAAGAGAGGATTTCCACTGGACGGCTTGGCCCACCATTACTGAACAACCGTTGTTTTGCTATAAGGATTTTGGACTACAGCACCAGGTCAACCATTTGTTGGTCGAACGGAAAAGCTTGCTTATAGGGTTGTTCAATTGTCCAAAAAGAACATCTCCCCTCACTCTCCTCTCTGTTCTGGGTTTTGGTTTGGGGGGAGCGGTTGTTCCTTTGAACACGAAGTCCTTGCTGTTGATGTTTCCCTGGAACCCCAAACAACCAGAAGCCATTGGATGTTCCTATATGGCAATTGAGATCCTTTACATGGCAAGAGGTTGTTTGTGGAAAACATCCATTACAGTAATTTCTGGTTGTGTGCGGTTCCAGGTCGTCTGGCTGATTGGACCCAACTCATGCCAGAAAGCCAAACGTTCAACCAAACAGCCAACACAGCTGCCTTCGTCTCAGGGCTTCTTCGCCATACCACCCAATGCATCCCCACCCCGGCATTAGAAGTGCAGGAAAAGATCTTTCTGCCCCCAACTCATCCCAAAACACCAACTATCTGAAACAATCTCCCGGGGACCACGAAGCACGGATCAGTTCTAGTAGCTTCTTGCTACTGGTAGTGATGGCCTCCAACCTACTTGCGATGGCCTCCACCCTAGTAGCTTCTTGCTACTAGTAGTAATGGTGTTTGGGAAAGGATCAGCTGCTCCGACCGGATCAGCTGCTCCGCAGTGCCCAACTGGCCGCCTTCAACACCAGCTGCGCGTGGTCGTCGGCCAGCAGGGTCCGACAACCCTCCAGCGCCTGGAGGTGTTGCTAAGGATTTTGGGACTACACCAAGTGAACCGTTCCTCTTTAAGCCTTTTGACTCTTTGCATTGTCAGGACCACGGAGTGTTGGGCAGGACGAAGCAGGTCGTCTTTAGGGCATGTCGTTCTCCTGGTCTTGTGAGGTATGAGAAAACTTTCGAAAACCAGGTGTTCTTTGAATGAACACCCCTTTTTGTTGGAAAAGACCCAACACTCGAGGCACTTGGTTATGGGTCGGACTCTGGTCAATTCTGCATGTGAAATTTCTAGCATAAGGGATCAGCTTTTCGGCTAGGTGTATCAACCAATGACCGGCAGTTAGGGCTTGGTGAGCACTTGGCAACTCAATCATCTGAATCAAAGCACGCTGAAGGTTGAACACTTGTTACAGGGCACTCCAGATGTTTGCGGTCCAATGTTTGGTCGTTCAGTCGGTTTTGTGCGGCCAAACCAGTCTTGACTAACTAACCTGCTTTACTTGGAACAAAAACACGCAGGTTTGCTCTCTCAATCTCAAGATTCTAGATTGAACATTGAACACCCCAGCAATTTTATCTGCTTCCTTTTCTTCGAACCCACACATTCACTCCACAAGACCCTGGAATCTTCCAGGTCCAGAGCCAGAGCTCTGAAACCATGCTTCGGAAACGACCTGCTTCTGAAGCTATGCTTCGGAAACTGCCTATGTGTTTGGAGACCTTCAGGAAACCAACACCCGCCCAACATCAGATGCTCGAGCACGTGGGAACTTGCTGTCTGGTGCGCCTTGCGCACGCGCATGGCCGCTCGGAAGGCAAGCCTGCGCTGGCACATGGGGCACCCGATCCGACCGAGACACTGTCCGGCAGGGGCTTTCGCGGTGCAGGCTGCCGCTGACGTGAACTGGTAACTGGAGCTTTGTTCAACCTGAACTTGCTTAATTTGGAGCCCCCTTGGACGTGAAGAGAGGCTCTCAACCCACTGGGAGGGTCCCACTATAACAAGTGATATGCATGATATTGCATGATATACACACTCTGTATACTCCCTAACCTTTACAAGAAAGGGGACGACCTGTTGTTTGTAGTGTAAAAAACCTCAGTAAAACAATGGTTGTTTGGGATTCAAACCATGAAATGAAATCAATGGTTGGCCAGGAAGCCAAGGGTACTGATATATAATATATCAATATACTGATAAATATAGTGATATACTGGACACCCCAAAAGAAAACACCACACCGACCTACTGTACAGGTAATGTGGTCTTTGTTGAAAGCGGTGACCGCCACGCAGCCAGCTCTTCAGGCCGCACTCCGGTGCGTCCTCCCTCCGGCTGTGTTGGAAAAAAGCGCTGAGGATCACCAGTTCGCCCCCTGGTTGTATTGGTTGCCTGGCTGAATTCCTTTTCGTCCATCCCTTCTTCCATGGGGGGCTCTGCTGAACCCAGGTCGATTCCGTTTGAGGCGTCGCTGGCGCAGCGACCGGACCGGACCGGGCGTCCCGGCAACTGGGACATCGCAGCCACGCCCGGAGCTCCCACGGCTTCCTCGGCACGGCCGAGCAGAAGCGTCACACCTGCTGCGCTCGCGCCGGTGTGATGCTACCTACCGGTGTGACCCTACCAGTCCAGTCGCAGGGTGCTTTCACCTGGTCCGAAAGGGCCGAAGGTAAGTACTGTCTTATGTGTAGGTACGAGAGTCCAGCTCGGGGGGTCTGATCGGACCTGACCAGTTGGGACGAGTACGCTCCAAGCACGCGCGCTCCTGGTCCGAGGACTCCGTGGTCCGTGGTACGAGTGAAGGTGACCGATCCGGAGGATCCAAAGGTGGGGGACACGTGGAAGAACCGGTCGTGTATCACCCGTGTGCTGCAGACGAATCGCCCGAATCGCGGATCCAGACGGTCACTGTGGGCTCATGGCACCCGGCCACCCGGAACAGAATATCCTTGTTGAGGGAGGTCAAACCTCCCCTGGGTTTGGTTGGGGGAGGTGCCATGACGAAACCAGCCACATCATGATGATTATCAGCGCTCTGCTTCGTCCCAGCTCTGATCAGCTCTGATCATGTCCCATCCAGGTCGCGCCCCCACCAAAACCCCAAAACCGGGCTTAAAGCGCTCCCTCTCCTTCCGATGAAGGTTGGATACCTGCAGGAAGAAAAACACCAAAAAGCCATCGCCCAGGCGGCCCAGTGTGGCAGATCAACCAGGCGTCGATGTTCCGCGCATGCGGTGGGAACAAGCATGGCCCTAGTGACCAACCTCCCATGAACAGGGATCTCAAGAGATCTCAGGAACACCCCCGGACCCATCCAGGTCTTCCACCCAGTCCCCCCCCACATGAAAGGCCGATGCGAGTGGGCGATACTCCACCGGGCCGGTGCCCTTCTCCACACCGAGGAGCCATCAAACGATGCAAGACCAGGCTGTCCAAGTTGGAGGACCAATCCTTGCAAGAAGGAGTGAATAGAGTCGTTGTCTTGAAGATGGTTGATAAGAAATATTGCTTTAAACTAAGAAACTTGATTTCCGTGCTGATCAAAAAAACACCGTCTGGCAGGGCTAGACCACCCATCAAATGTGCAAAATGGACACCCCACAATAACCAAAATCAAAATAAATCAAAGCTCCATTGCTCTCACCGGTCAAGTTTGATCCCCTTCAGCTTCAACAAAGCGAAGCCATCGGCCACCCTGGGCGCCTGTCGAAATCCGCCCGAGCACTTGCTCGGCTCGGTGGCGTCCAGGAGCTTCGTCACGCCGCGCGACAGGAAGGAGCCGCCCAAGGCGTCCGGAAACCTGGCGGCGTCCCGAAACGACGTCGGAGGGGTCGATGGGTGGACCGAGAAACGACGTGCGACGTGCGTGTGGTTCGGCGCCGCGTTCAGGCAGCGCGGCACAGCCAGGGCTGGAAGAAAGAGCTCTTGGCTGAAAGTAACGAAGCATCTACAAAGCGGATGTCAATGATTCTGGGTGTACCAAGTGCACCGGCATGAAGAACACCGGTGTTCAACATTGTAGCATGTATATGGAACCCAATTGACCTCTGTTTTTTATAGGAAAAGACATGAAAAGACAACCCCCTTGGAATTCAGGCGCCCTCTTGGACTGTCTGATTCTTTAGGAGGCCACCTGCCACCTGCCACCTGCCACCTTAAAGAATCCTCAATCCACAGTGCCCATACCAACATGTCAGCTTAAAGAATCAGGACTCTGCCAACACATACTGGGCACTGGCCTTAAAAAATCAAAACACGTTGAGCACAGTGCGCACACACCTGTGGCACCCGGACTCCCCCTAAAGAATCAGAACACCTGGTACCAGTCCATGATGACAATGGCAAAAAGTGCACCTCTATTCGAAGTACCTTCCAGCATTTCAGCAATGTCAAGGAGCCAACAACAGCTGCAGCAGCGTCAACCACCATCGAGGGCACCTTATCCTAGCACCTTATAGAGAGGTAGCAAGCAAGGTTCGGAAGCATGCTAGCCCCTTGGACCATGGTGAGCAAGCAAAGTTTGGAGCACGTACGTGTTCAGCATGGCCAGTCCAAAGGTTCATGGCTTGCACTTCAGTGGGCTCCATCCTCTCTGTGGGCTCCTCTCCGTCCCGCTCCTCGTGTTCGCCGTTCTTCGCACCTGATGGGCTGCGTGGGGTCGTGGTCCGGGGACGCCTTGGCACCTTTGCGGCGGCCCAGGAGTTGCTGCTGCTCCATGTGGAGCAGAAAACGGACCACCTGACGGAGGGTCCGGCGATCCGCGTTGCGGGGCGAATGGTCAAAAGAGACAGGTCGGTCACATGCCCTCTGGTGGTGAGACCAGTGAGACCGACTTCAATCCTCTTCACCTCTATTAATACAGGCTTGGTCATTGGGAACTCCTTTTGTTGATCTTCCTTTGGGAGGTGGATCATTGAAAAAAGAAGCAGCTCAGCTGTGACTCTTCAGCGCCCAAACAGCTCACATTCTGAGTGGAGGACCCGACTGAATTGGCTCCGCCAAAGTTCTTGTGCACTGACCCCGAGATAGTCTTGGACGTGCCTCACGATCGCCGCCAAACAGCACGCGGGACGCGGGAGACGCCGGCAATCGCGGGAGACGCCCTATACCTATACGCCTTACCCTCCCTGAAACAATCATGGAAGTGGAATATAGCCTGTTCGTAGAGGAAAACGCTCTTCCAAGGGACCATATTCCACTTCCATGTTTGTTGGATGGAGGGTAACTTGGACACTTCATCCGCGGAATTGATGCTGAAGGCTGTTGTGCCAAAGGTTTCTCGAAGGCCGTTGGAGCCCAGTGGCTGAGCCCAGTGGGGATGGAGCAGCCGGTGGGAGCGTCTCGTTACGGACCATCTATGTAGAAAGATAGCGGATTTGTGGAGCAGCCGTCTCAATCCAACTGAAAAACCGTTCTTCATAGTTACTTCCCCCTGTTGAACTTGATGGCTCTCCCTGGCGTACTTGGGCCACCAGCTTCAACATCTGCAAGCTCCCGCGGTTCAGAGGGAGCTCGGTCGTGCGAGAGTCTCCATGAAGCAAGTTGAACACCAAGCCCACACCTCCCACCACAGGGTCTGAAACCACCTGATCCGGCACCACCAGCTCCCCAAAAAGGTCACTCCGAGTTCCAGCTTCCCGTGGCTCTTTTCAAGGAAATTCCACTGGATCAACCTCCTTCGTCCCCGTCCCTCGCTCGCTCCGGGCTCACAGCCACCGCCGAGCGACTCGAAGGAGCTCCGAAGCCGAAGACTTTGCTCAGCCAAGTCCTTCAACGAGGCCTGCCGCGGTTCCCCCCGCGCGGGCGGGTTCCGCCCCGCGCGGTGAACGCGTGAACGCGAGAGCCCGGAACGCTTCGCCCCCCCTGTCGACCGGTCCCAGGACAGCTAGCACGTCCGGGGTCTCTTCATCTGCAGCGCAAGAACCTACGGACCAACAAACTCCAGACTGCATGAGATTGTCCAAGCCGGATCCTCCCAAGACTTCTACAGTGGTTTCAGACTAGATGGGCACCTAAAGATGTCTTAGACAGAGGGGGGTCCACTACCAAAGCACCGACCTTTGGGGTCAACTTGTGCCATCGAACCTCTGAAACCACTGTACCCCTCGACCCCTCCGAATGACCCGTCCGAACGGACACCCTGCCACCCTCAGCCTGGACATACCCCACGTCTCCGGTTTTTCCATGAGCATGCGTCATAGAGACCGGGTCCAGAAACGGCAATAGATGTATTATGTATTGCCTGTAGAACTTTTATGTATTATGTATTGGGGTCCTTTTCGTATGAAATCGACAAGATCAGTGGATCATATAGTTATATAACTTTAAGTTTGCTGAACACTCGAACACCCTGTTCTTGCACTCAACGTGAGGCCCGTTGGCCTCCAGGGGCTCGAAACTGGTCTTGGCCAACATCGTTTCGATCTGCTGTGCCAGCTCACGTCTGAGCCCATCCCCTAGAACTTCCTGCCGGCCGCTGTTCACCCCAGAACGATGACATGCTTCGGAAAGCGGGGCATAGGGGGGGTGGTCACACAGTGACAAAGGTGTCCGAGGGTTTTGGCATTCTTGAGATTTTTTGAGCTATATAAATTCCAAACTTCTGATCATGGGATTATACCGAGAAAAGTGGGTCATACATGGTCATACAAATGGTGTTCCGTTCATGTCAACGGATCATTTCTGGGTCACCTGAAGTCCTCCCGCCAGACCCTGCGAGCGACCCTGGCCACCTTGAAACGTCCTCTGCAGGACCGCAGGTTTGCCTGGACCCCACTTGAAGAGACTTCTCCAACCCTCCAGGCAACCTCTGTGACCATCAATCTGTTCAGTTGGTCCTTCAAAACACGATGAATACGCCCCTGCAGACCTACATGGAACCCCAAAACCACTGGGTTGTAGATGGTCGAAATGGGTCGAAACCACGGGCCAGCTCTCCGGATCCATGATAGTTTGCGGCAGGGTAGCGGATCAAAGTTGACGTCCTCGTCCATGTGCCCATGTGTCGATGGTGAAACAAAATCCATGGTCAGTGTTGTCATTTGTCACGTAGAGCCTCACCTTTTCGGATGCTCCGTCCGTCCGCTGTTCCCTCACATATCCCAATGATTGAAACCCTGTTGCTTCTGGGACGCAACCACACATCGTTCATGTAGGGACGCAATCACTCCCCACATGCGTTCGTCTCACTCGTCATCTTTTCATCTTGACTCCGCCAGATCTGAAGAATTCGGGTCACACCACTTCGTCACTTCGTCAAAAAAGGCCTCCGAAATCATCCTACAAGCTCCAATCATCTATCCGAAACCTCGATAGATCTGACCATGTCCTCCTCCAGCCCTTGGAAGTTCACTGAGTCGCTCCTTCGGCTCGACCAGAATGGCACCCAAATAGGCCACGTCCGTCTCGCGGATGCCGCGCATGAGCAAAGCAATGCGACGTGTGAGCTGACCCACCTCCAGGTTGGCCCCCTCGCTCCTGGCGTCGTTTAGCTTCGCCTTTCTTTCGCACCACCACGGGTGCTTCTGAGATGACCCTACTGACCCTACTGCCCCCGCAGCCGGTGAAGGACCTGGTCTTGCTGGGGCAGACTGGATTTACGGAGTACCCTGGTCTTGCGGGGGGTGTCGGGTCGTGAAACCCATTTTCCAAGGTACGAAGGAAGAAAGGAAGAAAAGGGTCCAAGTGGGATCAGGTGGATTGCCTTTTCGATCACCTCGGGTGACGAGATGCTTTTGTACGCCATGCGGCATGCATCGACCCCCGCGAACACGCGGCAAAGCCGTTGAGCGTGGATGGACGGTGGGTTTCTGGTGTCGGTTGGATGAAGGACGTGGATCGTGGATCGTGGGGCATCGTTCATGGAAAGCCATGAATTCCTGTATATAGATGTTGAACATAAGGCTCCAGCCGGGCCGGTGCGGCCCGGTATGGAGGCTTGGGGACCAAGCCTCATGGTGGGGAGGGTGAACGAAATCTGTGTGGGGAGATTGGTCACCACTCCCAGCCTTCAAAAAGACGAGAGTTCATGCAATCACTTGATTCATAAAACAAGTTGTTCAATCCATGTCTAGGGATTGTTATATTAATCAAGAGCCAAGCGTCTACGTTATTTACTGTGGTCCGCATTAGCAGCAAACTCTAGTGACGATACTCTCTGTGAGCTTCCCGGGTGAACGTGCTCTGCAAGCATCCCCAGTTGGAGGGTTCATCTCACTCGCAGATACCGCCTGCCAGTGTGGTCGCAATCTCTGCCCATCCCGCTGACAGACTTCAGCCCCTTCCAAGTACGTGTTCATGAGAAAGAAAGAAAGAAAGAAACTTGAACCCTCCGTACCAACACCGCCTACTCTTTGAAACAATCATGGCCCACGTGGAGAGTGAAAACCACCTGTTTGATCTGAACGGAGTTTCTCCATGATCCCTGGCGTTCTCCACGGCCAGGCCCGGTTTCAAGGAGTGTAATTGCGTCTCACACCCTCACTAGGCGACACTAGATCCACCGACTTACGTCCAGTGGATTCAGGTGCCACAACCACCCATTCCTTGGATCCGCCCCAACAAAAAAGCACCGAATTCGGACGGGCCCAGTTGGCTCCGCAGCTCCTCTGGGCGTAATTTTGCAGCTCCGCGAAGGCGACGCGGGAACTGGGCCAGTTGGGTGTGGAGGACTTGCTGAGCCGCGCCAGTTGCGCCAGGAGCTGGAAGATAAGCCGTGGGATGTCCTGCCAGACGCGGTGTGTAGGTCAGATGATCCGTTCCAGAAGAGCAGTATATCAAGGTGTCCAAATGACCCCCGGCTTCCAAATGTGGCTTTAACCAAGGTGAACCTTGCTGAACACCCGTCTTTATGACAACCCGAGTTGTGAAACTCTTGGAGAGACCATTCAGGGATGAAGGGACCTAGAAAATGCAATGCAGAACTTGGCTGGTGATGCTCCCTGGTCACGTTCAAGGTATTCTCCAAGGTCTTCCCAGTCGTCAGCGTTTTCTCAAGAGAAATATCAGTGCCATCACCCCTGAAAATGGACGGTGGGTACCGGGTAGTCCATGTGATTCCAAAGAGGTTCCGGTGTTCCGAAGAGGATTTCAAAGGATTCCTGTGGCAACCATGACAGGAATAGCGCAGCTGTGACGTGTTACGCGTTGCAGCAAAAAGAAGACCTGGTAGTGCTGGATGAAAGATGCCCCATCACATTTGGTTCAATCCCTAGAACCTGAATGATCTCTGACTCTATTTTGGATCACCCATCATGAATATCAAAATATGGTCAGTCTTTTTCAATCAAAACACAGGTCAAATGGGTTCCAGGTATATAACACATTGCAGGGCCTGCTCGGCGGCCGATAGGGCTACAATCGGCTACAAGTTGATTCTATTTCAACCCCCCAAGCCTCCAACAAGGCGTTTCAATCCATGTCTGTGGGGGTTATATCAATTCCTCCAGAGTCATCCTCCCGCAACAACCACCGCCCTTATCACCGACGCCAAACGGCTCCGCACCGCCGTAACCGGAAGCGAGCGGAGCGCCGAGCGAAGGGGGGCGCTCCTGCAGGACGGAGCGCATGAAGCGCACCAGCCCCGCCGAGTAGTACTCGGAGACCAGCGCCGCATGCGACTCGTTGCCCGACTGCCTCGCGGGGGATTGGGTGCGGGTGGCACGGTGCAGGTGCGGGTGCGGCCTGGTGTGGGGGGGTTGGGCGGGGAGTCTATTTGCCCCAGATTCGGAGGCTTCTATGACTGGTCTTCAGCCAAAGCATCCAAGATGTGCCTGGTACTGATGACTTTCCAAGGAGTCTTGTTCATTCTTTCTCCTATTTCCGGAGCACTCCACTGGCGCTCTGCCACCTCTACCGAGACTCCGCTCCTCCGGTCTCCTTCGGTCTGCCGGGCCTGATCCGCCGCAGCGGCACCTCCAGGATGGACGCGAGCCTGGGACCGGTGTCTCCACGAAGGGAAGGAAAACGCCACGGCAGTGGGTGTTTGGGGCAGTGGCCTCTTGGAAGCCTCTTTGAAGCGAAGACGCTTTGGCATGGATCCACTACGTCGAAGCACCCCTTTAGAACCGGGTGTTTCGCCCCCGCGGCGGACGGACGGCATGAGGAACACACCGAGGTGCTTGAGGAAGAGCGCACGCAAGCCCTTGATGCTATCGGGCGAGCTGGAAAACAAGTTCCCCATCGCCTGGCGGAGGAGCGAGGATATGACAAGCACCCGGTGCGGAGGACGAGGCATGGCCACATAAAATATGACAAGTATCAGATTGTCAATGCTAGTGTCCCACGGATATGACAAGTATCCATTGACCCCTCCAGTCATCCCATAGGGGATTAGCATCCCCTATCCTAAAGATTCCTATAGTCATTTGATGTGGCACAGGAAGTTCGGTCGAAACTCTGAGGATTCTGTAGAAAGGGTGCCCCCGCCCCCGGCGGATGAACTCTGACGGTCTGGTTGAAGTGCCCAGCTTTGCTCCGAACACAGGTGAACAAGGGGTGAAAACGATCCTCAGTCAAAACGTCTGAAGGACCACACAGGTGTTCAGGAAAGACTAAAGGCAAATGCTTTGAGTCTCCAAAGAATTGCTGACTCCACAACGCCCAAAAATTGAACGCCCCTGCCACACAGAACAAACTTCAGGATGTCCAAGGATACACCACGTACCAAGGCAGACGTCGAGATGCAGTTTGCAGGGCCAGTTCTGACCTCCACCGCGTCGCGCGGTTGCCTTGTCGACAAGGTCGGCTGGGTTTTTGAGAGGAAGACGAGCCGACGGCGAACCCCGTCCCGCTGCACCGAAAAGAACCCCAAAATCATCCAAAATCCGAAGAGATCAGCTGAACCCATCGCAATGCCACTGGCTGATCCTCTCGGGCATCGTGGTCAGATGGTGGGTGAAGATGGTGGGTTCCGCCCACGCCACGCACCCTCACGAACTGTTTGAACATCTACGAAAGCTACGATGCGAGGATTCAAATCCAATCCATCTCCAATCCCATGTTCAAGCAGGGAAGCCACTACCCTAGTAGCTCCACCCTCCTCCCAACGAATCGGGCGCTTGGCCGGCACGTACTGACCACATGTCGCCTCTTTATAACCGGCCAAGGCGTGCCAGGCATAGGACAGGTCGGCCACCGTCTCAATGGTGCTCAGCATCTCCTCTCATGGACGATGAAGAAACTGTATAAGGCTCAAATCATAAGACCCAGTTGGCAGGTGTTGGTCGCTTTTTCACAAGGAGAGTGCCATCTAAGGCACCGGAGTGCCATTCCGGAGCACCAGTTGAGGTCTCTGGACGTCTTCATGGAGGATCCGGAGCGTCTTCAGCTGAGTACTTTGAGCAGAGATGGCCCATGTGACAGGCTTCACCTTTGAACAAGCCGAACGGAAGTTGGCCCTTTGAACAGCTGGCAGATGGCGCTGATCCAAGGCTCAGAGGTCTGACGCGGGTTCTGCTGGCAGGTGGCACCAGATTCAAGAGCCCTCAATGGGTGTGTATTCCATGTAGGGAGACCTATTATAAAGATCCCCCAGAAGGAAAATCGACCCAAAATCCATTGGGGTCAGGGGCTCTGCAGATTGAAATACACCTCCTGGCCTCAATTTGATTGGAATACCGGAACACCGTCTCCTCATTCAAGTTGGCAGTGCGCAGCATGCGTTGCAGCAGTTGCCTGGACCAGGTGGTCACTGCGTGGAAGGGCGAGCTCGAGGGACATGGACTGGGCCGGCAACCGACAATCCAAAAAAACTTACCTGGGCCATCCAATGGGTGTCCTGTCTGGAGATCCCCAAGTAGTGTAGGGTAGTCCAGCCTGGACACCCAGACAGGATGGTCTTGGTATATTAGTTTCAGAGTCGATGGCACGTTTCCCCAAGATGCCCTAGACAGTTGGGGATCATAAACCACCGAACTTGGGGTAACTTGTGCCGTCTGCTCATGCCATCCACTTCCAGGACCATAGACTCAGGGAGTGTATCTTCAACAGCTTTTTGGGTGAAACGAACCCCTTGGTTTATCGTGGGCATAGCAAAAAGGGGTGTCCGAAGGTGCTGGCACTCCAAGTTTCCCAAGCAGGTCTGGTGTATGAAACACCTTGTTTGAAACAAGCGCTGCGTCCGTTCAGGGCCATCATAGGTGGGCTGGCAACCTCCTTGTTATGAGAGGATTGAGTGGCAACCTCCTTTCGAACATCCTGTCAACTCATGTCTCTTTGGTCAGTCTTTTCTGGTTTTCTGGGCCCTGCTAGTTGAGATCCAAAAAGAAACATGAATATTGTTGTCAGATCCAGGCACGTCAGTCTTGCTGCGCCAGACTCCAC